TCTTTCTTTCTTTCTTTCTTTCTTTCTTTCTTTCTTTCTTTCTTTCTTTCTTTCAGTATTATAGCTGAGAATTGCAGATATTTAAATAAAAATGTATGAAATTTACCATTTCTAGTGAAATATTGAAGTATTTTCATGCCGAGGCTTCTGTATATGCGTTCTGAAGTATTGAAAGAGTTATGCCTGTGAACCCCTTCATTTTAGCGGGTCCTCTTAACTTATTTTGCTATTGATGTATTTTTCTCATTGGGGATATTTTGGGGGTTTTCTGCTGTTGTTCAAGGTTTGACAGATGATAATAGAGACAGATATCTTCATCAGGTTGGGTCTTTTTCGTTTGGGGGGTTCCTTTCGGGGTGTCTGTAGGGTGGGGTCAAAAAAGTCAAGATGGCAGCCGTGACGGTGCAATCAAAGCTCCGTCTCTTTTGCAGGGAAAGCTTTGATTGTGCTGTCGTGGCCGCCATTTTGACTTTTTGGGCTACGTCCTGCAGCAGCCCCGGCTGGTTTTGACCCCCTCCTTTTTTTTAATTTTTTTTTTTTTGAAGGAAGAAAGCAAATAATATTCATTACTGCTGCTTTTTGTTTATCAAGACAGTACAAATGATATGCCAAAAAAAACTTAACTCTTTTGTACTGCGTTTTTATTGTAAAATAGGAAAGGTGGGGGGAAAATGATTTTTCCCCCTTACTTGCGGAAGTGTCTGCTAAAATTTACAGGACAGGAAATAATCTGCCTCAAGAGGTCATTTCAGGAGTTGGGGGGGGGGTATCTGATTGTGAAAACTTTTTTTAAAATTTCTTTTTATAATTTTGTTAAATTGGAACACCTGTAAGACATTAGCTTTAGCTTGAGAAGATGCTAGAAAATTGCCTATATTTCATCTGACTTTCTGCTAGCTAGTCTTCCTGAAGCAACCCAGTTCAGACTGCGCCTGGTGTAGGTCAGATAGCCTATGCTGGCGCCTCGAGGCTTAACCTCTCGAGTTCTTGGGTGGGCAGATGAGTCCCTCGCCAGCGCGGCTTTTCCGTTTTATGGCTCTGTTCCCTCCTTTGCTTCCAAAGGCTCACCGTTTCAAAATTCAAGGGTGGAAGGGGAAATTTAAAGTTTTCTGACGGATATAATAAAGATGAAATTGAAAGTAGCAGAGTATTTTAATAGCATTTGTTAAGGTTACTTTTTTTAGCAGAGGGGTTTGCGCTGTTTAATTTTTTAAGGCAGCCTACGGACTCACAGACGTGGCCAAAAACATACGTGCTCCTGAGAAGTAACGTGGTCGACATCGAAGGAAGGGCAGGGAGGAGGAGGTGTCTTGCCCGTCCGCAGCGGCGCCCCGTGTTTGGCAAGGCTCGGCCTGCGCGCCCCGCGGGCGAAGCGCCTCGCGGGGCCGGAAGAGCCCAGGAATTCGGCTCTGGAACTGGACGCTGCCCCAGGAGGCAGCCCGCAAGCCCTTTTAACCATTTTCACAACTCCGGGAGAAACTGTGCAGTACTATACAAATCTATTTTAATACACGTAACACTCTGTTGAACCAGATTTTTATATTCTTTTATTGATGAACAAAAGTAAAACACCGTCGCGATATGTTGGTGAGGTATACCAATTTATGCATTTGGACATAGCTTGCAATGTAAATGTTATGGGGTTTTGCAGTTTTCTTTCCTTCTCAGATGAATTTAAAGAAATAAAGGGTGGGGGAGGGAAGCATAGGAAGTTTCTTTATTGGGAAAACTTTCTGAAAAAGTGCTTTTCTGGGACTCTTAAAAAGTAGTTATTTTGGAAAAGGGACTGTCCCCTGGATAGTGTGCATAGAAAGCAAATTGTTTGTCTTAAATATACCAATGTAGTTTACTTCTTTAAGATGAATTAAACTTGACTGACAGATTTAAAACTGGTGTGGTCACTGAGGCGTGCTTATATTTCTCCAGACCTTGCATGTGTGCTCTGGTAATTCAATTAAGAATTATTTTGTCATCCTTTCTGTCACCACTGCTCGTCACCTTTTTCTTCTTAGGCCTTTTAAGAGAAAAATATCTTCTCTCCAGCAGTCCTTAAATGAACTCTGCTTTGCACTGTCCAACATTGGCAGGTAGCGGAAGCGACAACAGACGAACAACCATCCGTACGAAAATGAACTTTATAAACCAGGAACTTAAAACGTAATAAACAAAATCTATCATGCCTTTTAGTTGTCTTCAATACTTGATTTTTGCTGTTCTCTGTCTACATGCCAAAAGTCTTAAAAATAACGTTCGTGTCTCTAGTCTGCAGTGTCGCAAAGTAAAATTAGACCTTGTCTGTTAAGATTTTGGCACATTAAAAATATAGTTTCTTGGGCAAAATGTTTCAAATCCAAAATGCCCTGTTTTGAGGCCCACGCTGTTCCAACTTTACTGGAAATATTTGGACATTGTTCTGACAATTTTAGAAAAGTTCCAGGCTTAAAAGAGTCGCATCCCAAGCCTGGGACATTTCCAGAATGGTTGAAATGGTTCTTTTCATAAGTGATTAAAAGACATCATAAATATTATGGGGTGGAAAACTTGTAAAAAAGAATAGTGGACTGTACACCAGGAGGGTTAAAAGCTGATTTTCTGAGATGTCCCGATAAATCCTCAGATGAACTGGAACTTTCCAAAAGGGTTCAACACCAGGTTATGAGTGCGTGAATTTTCTGCTGTATTTAGATTGGCTGAGCTTACCCGTTTAGTTTTTTACCCAACCCCAAAACCCTCCTACTGAAAGCTTCAGTCAAAACAGTGTGGAACATTTTGAGAAAAGACCCCATAGCGAAAGGATTTCAGTTGTTGACACCCAACTCTGCATTTGCTTTGTACCTGATCATCCGAGAAGGTGGAGGTGCTTCAAATGGAGCCTGCTGTGGGTCAGATGAGAGCAGGTCAAATGCAGAGGAATGCAGACAAGGGCTGGGATGTGCTGTGTGTCTTCTGAAGGACACCCTGCAGTTGTGTTGAGGTCTAGCGTTGGTTTGGATACCCAAATATTACTGGTGATGCAAAGTCCAGTTGAGACTGGTGCTCCAGGGATGGATTTACAGAATTTATATATCGCCTGGTTACTTATCCGTGTTTTGGCTTGACTCTTTCTGACTTGGTGGACATATCCGTGTCATTCTCCTGGAAACGATGGGGAGGACCCCTTTTCTTCTTGGATATTTTCCAACCCTCTGGCATTTCCCACCCGACTTCCCTCACCAAGATCAGCCACCGTTGTTGGTTAGTTGCCAACTGCCACCTCGATGGGCCCAGGAAAAAATGATCTTGATGCATTTATAGATCAAGCTGTGCCAAAATAACTCGATCTGTGTGTGCAGCTGGGTCAGGGTGAAGTCTGGGAGCAGTTTCAGGTTAGAGTCAGTCATCCAAATTTATTACTTTTCCAGGACAGGCCCAGGTCTTCCTAAGATTTTGTTCTGGAAAATTAAAAAAGGTAACTTGTGTATAAAGCCAATTGTTTTTCCTCCCTCTGTGCTCTCCAGGGATCTGCATATGTGTAACAGCACACCTTTCTCACTTGGTCAAACTGACATTCACCAGGCCCATTTTTTTTTTCACCCTCAATAATGTTTGTCCTTGATTTATGCCAGTGTTTCTCAAACTTGGCAACTTTAAGATGTGTGGACTTCA